ACGTATTTGATTTTTAGCACTGGTTATAGTCATATGTCAATTCTTAAATAGCGGTTGGACGTGCCCTTATCCAATTTTAATGAGAATAATAAGAAGATAGCCAGCATCGACTCACATCTTTCGAGCGTTCTACTCAGCAATTTATACCAAAATTGATCAGTAGTGTTTGCCTCGTCGGAAGAGCATTTTAGATTAAGTATCACTGTCGGCAGTTTAATGCTCGAAATCCCCGAAATTTTCTCTTTCGGTGATTTCAAACCTACTTACACCGCCGAATGCTCTAACATAGGCCTTAAACAACGTGCAAGGACTTGAAAAACAAATGGCTAACTAATGGGAGCCCATTGTTTTGATAAGCAGAGATCGGCACAAACTGATATGACACGAGCGTATTGCTACGGCTTGGTAGCTGTTGAGATTAGGAGTGGAAATGGTGGTAAATTATAAAAGAAGGGGTGCTCTTGAAGTGAAAACTCATCGAATACACTTTAGAAGAACAAAAGAGCTTACACAATGTCAGACAGTTTACCTAAATCTGACAATATCCAGAAGGTTATTGCATTAGAAGATTTTTCTAAAATGAAAGTTAAGGATGCTGGTGAAGAAAGTGTCGTCTCGGTGGCTGTGGACTCGGAGTTGGTAGAAGATTTATACATTGATGAGCAAGAGGAAAAGGCACTTGTCAAAAAATTAGATTTCCGGCTCCTGCCCATGCTGGCATTCATGTATTTCCTGTCGTCATTGGATAGGTCCAATATTGGTAACGCCTACACTTCTGGAATGAAGGAGGACTTAAATCTCACTAGTAGACAGTACTCCAATTGTGTTTCTGTTTTCTATTCAACTTACCTGGCAGCTGAGTTGCCAGCTGTATTAGTTTTAAAAAGAGCCAATGTGAAGTACTATATGTCCTTTTTGGTGTTTTCCTGGTCGATAATAACCCTGAGCTCGGGTTTTGTTCGATCCCATAAATCTTTATTGGCGCTAAGAGTTCTTTTAGGTACTTTTGAAGGCGGCTTTTTCCCTGCAATGACACTAATTATTAGTATTGTCTATAAGCCTCAAGAGCAGGCTAAAAGAATTGCTTTCTTCTTTGGATCCGCTGCATTATCTGGAGCTTTTGGTGGACTCATAGCAACAGGACTTTCATCAGTTAAGAACGGTGGAGGTCTCGAGGGTTGGAGATGGCTTTACATTATAGAAGGATTGATATCTGTGTGCGCGTCTGTGTGGTTGTTCTTTGGGCTGCCAGCAAAGTTTGAGGTTTTACCTTTTTTGAATGAGCGCGAGTGTCATTTGATGAGCATTCGCAGTAAACAGAGGACTCAATACATGGGTAGCACTGAGAAATTTAGCTGGTCATGCGTGAAGGATGCGTTTTTAGATTTCAAAACATACCTTTCTTTCACGATACAATTTTGTCAGGACACAATAATGTATGGATTTAGCACTTTTCTTACTGCCATTCTCAAAATGGGATTAGGTTTTTCCTCCATGCAGGCCCAGTACTTGAGTGTACCTGTGTACATCTTAGCTGGTGTCGTGTTTTTAATTTCAGCCTTTCTGAGTGACAGGTTCAAAATGAGAGGTCCCATTTTCTTTTGCTACAATCTACTAGGCATTGTGGGGTACATTTTATTACTGAGTGTAGGCAACGACGCTGTCAAATACTTCGCCTGCTATTTAATAACGTTCTCTCTTTACACCGGTACTGGGCTTAATATATCGTGGTTGACCAATAACATGGCCCCTCATTATAAGCGTGCAACTGCTTTAGGACTAAACCAAACTTTAGGGAATTTATCTGGTGCAATTGCAGGTCAAATATACACCAAATCTCCCTACACCTTCGGCAACTCTTTTTCTTTGGGTTGCATTGTGTTATCGAACATTCTTACTTTATGTCAAGTGATAATATTGAAACGCATAAATATCAAGAGGAAGAAAATTTTGAATGGTGAGATATCTGATAATATGAAAAACAGGAGAGGAGACTGGGCTTTGGATTACGAGTATTGTTTGTAATGCGTGTTGTCAATTACACCTGTCAGTTTGTTTAATGATGAGGCTATCTGAAGTTTGTGTTAAGATGTATAGAGTGATTTATTATCGTATTATCTTTTACTCTTGCAGCGTTTGTGTTAAGCTTATGTATAGAGTGATTTATTATCTTATCTTCTTTTACTTTTGGAGTGTTTGATATCTCAATATGTTTTGAGAATAATAAGCTGCAGCTCTTCATGTGACTACCGAAAAAGAGAGAGTGTGTGTTGTATTCATCGAACTCTTGGTTCATCAAAGACCGTGTTTCGTTATTTGTTTTTAGATCGAGTCTATTAGGTACTTCTTTTTGTGTATTAAATCAAGTAGTGCCCATGGCTGGTACACTTGTGAATATATATTACTGGTATACAAAGAAGCTTATTTTATTTGTTTAAAGCCTTACCTGACAATACCTGTGGCTACCTTCGAGCCGTTATCCATACATATCAAAAATATAAATGCTTTCTTCGATTAAGAGCACTTCAAAATGTTTTTTTTTTTTTGGTATGCTCTAATCTTATAAACCCATTGCGAGCAGAAAATAATAATTTAATAATACTCTTGGTACTCTTGTAATTCTTCATTTTCTATTGATATTGAGGTTTTATAAAAATAAATAAGCATAAATTTATATTTTATAGATCTAAAAATAAATAAAATTCCGTGGGTATGCTTAGGAACTTCACAATCGATGGATGTTCTAAGGGCATTGATTAAGGGTAAAAAGTGTTACTTTTTTCATATGGCAATGCTACAAATAAAAGAGGTCCATAATGATAGGTCTAAGTGTGGTTTGACACTATTTAATGTATTGTTGTATAAATACGGCAGAGAGATTACATAATATCTTTTGATTCAACAATATGTTTACTTAGTCGTCGAGAACATTGAGAATTTGGGCAATACATAATGTGCTTATTAGTTAATAAGCATATGTCTGTTGCCCTTTGAGAAACAAAACTTTAGATGTCTTTCCATGATTTTTTTTCAATATGCTATCTCGTGTACCCTTAAACTTTTTTGTTGGGCTTTTCATCTTTATAATATACTCAAATACTATTGAATAGCACAAATTGAGCTCGAAACAACCAGCTTGGAGCAAACCGAGAAATTCGACTGCATCCAAATGCAACATACGGTAAATTTTATTATACCGATATTCCACCTGGTGAAATGAATTACTTAGAGGAAAAAGTAGTATAATCCAATTCCTATTTTAAGAGTATGCAAGTGCCTTATTTTGAATCTAAAAGTGCATTCGAAAGGAAAGCCCTTACATGAAAGTAAGCTATGGTTTGATCTTGATTCAGTGCTGTTGGATCTGGTTGGACCATTATTGACATTAAAGTAACCAGTAAATCATGGATCAGGTTTGAGACACTGAATTAGGTTTTATTTCTCTACCGTCTGTACTCGAGTAAATTTCGTAGTAAATTGGCAAATTTCTTACATAGTCTTCAAATATCAGTTTCCCTTTCGAAATAGAATGGCGAATTGTCCTCGGACTGTTGAAACTCGTAATACTCGCGATATTTATCTTCCAAAAATAATACAGTGATAAAATAAAATTCTGTTGATTATCGATCTTAAAATAGAATACTATAGTTCAGGAAGTTATTACTTAGCTGTAAACAATGAAATAAGGGGTTAAAACAGGATTTTATTCTAGCAGCGTTTGAAGCTGTTATGACTGCTGTATAGTTTGGGTATCGGCTGTGCCTTTTTAACGTCTCCGCTTACATTGAAACATTGAGGGCTGGACTATAGAGTACGGGATTCCATGAGGCGCACCTCACTCCGTGCAAGGAGGAGTGACATCGGAGGTCTGAGCACATTCTGTGCATAATGTGGTTGTTCCAGAGGATACCCAATACGTGGAACTACTTGACTCCCAGTAGGTGGAACTGCTTGAGGCCCAGTAGGTGGAGCTAGTTGACCCTTGTTCACACTCGGTACACGGAGTTTCGCTGCTGGATGAAGCCCATGAAGAAGAGCTGCCAGGCGTCTCAGTGCATGGAGTCTCGGTGTTTGATGAAGTCCATGAAGAAGAGCTGCCAGGCGTCTCAGTACATGGAGTCTCGGTGCTTGATGAAGCCCAGGAACCAGAGCCGCTAGGAGTTTCAGTGCATGGAGTTTCGCTACTGAGGGATGCCCAAGAACTCGAAGTGCTAGAGCCGCTAGGAGTTTCCGTACATGGGGTCTCGGAGGTTGATGGCGTCCAAGTAGTAGAGCTGCCAGAAGCAGTTGATGTGGAACTAGAACTACTAGGGCAGCCAGGAATGTGGCCGCAATTCCAGTGCCACAATGGAAAGTCGCAATTTGCTTTGGAACTCGAGGATTGATGTTGACAACCAGATTCGAGGTTAAAGCAAGTTTCGCCCCATTTCCAGCCTTCACTGTATTGCTGAGCCTCACCCTTTAAAAATTCGTATTCGATTTGAAATGATGGCATCAAAACCTGACAAGGTTCATTTTCAATCTTCTGAGCGTAAACTGGGAATGAAACGGTGAATTCGGTTGCAGAATTAATCGAACAGTCTTTGTTCGATTTTGTAACCTCTACACAACTCTGAGGACCGTCAATACCTGTCAGTTTCAAGGAGGAGAGGTACTTCCAGTCAATGCTTTCAGCACCCTGTACCTTAACAGTAACACCGTAAGTCTCGGATTCTATCCAATCTACAGCCAATAGGTCCATTGAGAAGTTCATCCGGTCACACTCATCTGCACGCCATCCAAAGTCTAAATTGGGACAGTGTGGAGCAACATTATATATTGATCCACCTTTTGAGCCACCTTTTGATCCACCTTTCGATCCAGTACCCCATCCGCCCTTCCATCCACTTCCCCATCCACCTTTCCATCCTCCCCATCCACTTCCCCAACCTCCGTTCGATCCCTCGTTCGATTCACAACCGGCTGCCCTTTCGAACAATAGGGCAGAGACTAAGAAGAGTACTTTATTTGGATGCATTTTTTACTAATTCACTGATTGACCTTCTGAACCATTGCAATAACGATTGCGATGCAAGAATATGATAGTGCAAACTGCTGTCGCTTATATAATGATTGTGGTTAACGATTCTCAAACCTTTTAGGTACATTCCTGACTCGCTAACTGTGTTGAGTGGTACTCCCTCTTATTTCTCTGTTTACTCAAGATAACTGGTACTCTTAGCGGTACGCACCAGTGATAAAGAAGTGAAACAAGATACTCAGCAAAAAATTGCATTTCAGGACGATTTCTGTACTCGGCTCATGAATAGCAGTGTTGAGGACAAAGATATGTAAAGTTTACTATACTATGGCGATATTGTATAATGTTGTTTGCTTGCAAAATACGCGAGCGAACCTTTAAGGAAAATAAACTCTTGGGATATCATATCTTCAGACCTGAGAGACTACCGTAGCGACAGTGGGAGTGGACTTCAACAATTTTTTACAATCATCACTATTATGTCTCTGTAATATCATTCTACGGAGATTTGAATGGGGAGGGAGGACTTTTTCATGATAAGTCCTTCTCAGTATTGCTTAAGAGCGAAGAATGCTAATGAGCACTCTACCTTCACTTTGATTTTTAGTGATATTTTCTATCTACTATTCTTTCTTCGCAATGTTATTTCTCAGCCGTTAATTTTGCTCAATATTTGGTTCTCGCTCTATTTTGTGTTACCTTCCTCGCGTTTAACAAGCTTCGTTTCTGCAGCTTTAAGAAACTATGAAACACTTTTGTTTATCTAGAAGGAATGCTGAGGACTCTTGTTTGTCAGTGCAAAGGTAAAAAGCAGATTCTATACAGAGCAATATGAAAATCGTTCCACCTTTTTGGCTGTTTCTTCTTCTAAATAAGACATGAGTATTACTACTTTGAGGATCTTTCGTAATTCCCCACTTTTCTTGGCATTATATTTGTCGTGGTAGGCGTTGTTTTGTTTTCTGGGCAGGTTGTTCTGGCAACAGTTTCAAGTAAGAATGTTTTTCTTCTCTGCACGAGATCTATGATGTTTAAAAGCCGAATACGTATGGTCCAAGATAGATGTTCCAGAAGCTTTTCAACACATTTCTGAGTATTGACTGCCCCTGTTTCTGAGGGTATACTCTTACCTTGCTAGTTGTTATAACGAACCTATGAATAGATTGTTTTAAGCGGTCTGAAATTCATCAGAGTTATGTTTGACTCTCTAAGCAAGAGAGATCTTGTAACTGCTATTATGCCAAATCATTCTCTTAGAATAAAGAGTAATTTGGGCACATGTCGTTCACCTCTGTTACGGTTTTCCCTGACCCAGAGAGCTAATGAGTTCTCACAAATAAATCTGTAAAGACATGGCCGTCATCGGTAATCTGTAGTATTTAATTTACTAAAATAAACAGTGATTTCTGCAGGAGTATTAATGCATAGAATTGCATATGTACCTTTTAGGAAAAAATTTCCACAGATTGTCGGGCTGTCAAGTGACTGACGTTACGCTTACCACTGGCTGACACTATGCTACCTAGTTACCTCTTTCCAACATAAACGTCTTCTGACGCTCCTTTGGGAAATAAGACGCGAAGTTTCCGATATCTAGAGTAACTCGTGCTAGAGTAAAGCATGCCGCTTATATTAGTAGCACTCCACATGAATACCACACTTTCAAAAGCTTATGAGATAAACCCTCCATGAAGGTCCTTTAATTTTGGAAGATGATTTTGATTAATCGGACTAAATTTTTTCTTCTTGTACATTGGCTGAATATCGACAAATTACAGACAATATTATGGCTATCAGGTTTACAATTACATGGTTAATTGTAGTAAAGGCAAAAAGTTTTAATTAAGTTAGCCTTGTGAAGAGCTGCACGAATGAATGGTGCAAGCCTTTACGATATGGTGTTGTCAAGTGGTAAGGGAATACAGCAAACGTCACATAAGAACAGTAGTTAAGGAACTCTTTCATGAAAGTGGTTCAGCTTAAACTTATTGCTCGAGTATTAAAACTATGCTCTTTTTTGTTTTGGAAGACCATTCAGTGCATCGATTTTAATCAATAAAAGGCAAACTCAAATTGATTAAAAGAAAAACAACCATTTTAGCTGCTTCAAGTGTGAGAGAAGCTGCTTACTATACATACTTAAAACCGGAATATAGAGTTGGACTTTTGCATTTCTAGATGGCTTACACGTAAGACGCTATTGGGTGATGTGTTGTATTAGTCATGCGATTTTTCGCATGCTTAGTTTTGGGGATGTTTATTGTAAAGAGAACCCCTCTGAAAACTTCCAATCGATGTTTCATTTTTAAAAAAATTGTAAAGTTTAACATGGTGTCAGTAGAATGTTACTGACTGATGCTGATGCTTGCAATAACTTTCTTGTGCCATATATTGCGCTCTCTATAGTCCAGTATGGCCGAATACTGACGAATCACCATTCATTATGAAATATTCTATGTTTTTTGTCCCATATTCTGGTAATGACAATGGTATGCACCTATCGGATTGATATTTTCGTGCTTGTTGACGGCATTTTCAAGTCACTTCGCAATGATTAAGAAAAGAGACTGATCGATATATAAAACTCAACCTTATTGAAAGACTCGGATCAATAGAAAGAGTATGTTTAGGTGTTGTTATTCTATTCATAAATTTAAAAATGAATAACTACGCTAGTCCGTAACACACATGTAACTTTGTTTGGTCATCCGATATTGCTGAACAGGTTCGAGTAGTTGATTTCTTTTTCGAGTTCTTCGACTTTATTTGTCTTGCGTTCCAATCAAACCAAATGGATTTCATACAAGTTGTTTGCAGGTGAAGTGTTCGCAATGTGAAATTTTGGCATTATCTCGCACAAAGAAGCTCTGAACATTGATAAAGGTGGGCAAAATATAAAAAAAATTTGCTTCTTACAAACCTATAGATGGGCACTTTTATAAGTTTCTGCTTTTCAAACTTTCTTGTTTTTTAACCTGAATTCAGAGAAGACAAAGTTCTTTTTCCAAGAGCAATGCTCTTTTTAAGCAAAAGGACCCTCGAAGTACCCCAGGAAACAGAAAAAAAGAAAAATTATTGGTTTTAGTATTCGTTGACTTTTCATGTCCTCTTGAACTAATCATGAGTAATTTTGCCCTTTATTGCCTCTGTTTGATACGTTCTCTCTACTGGGACTTCAACAGATCATCAAAGCTTCCAACATCTTCGGTATTAAAAAAAAAAATGCTTTCTAACATACCACATTTATATACAAGAATTCTCTATTCTAAATTGCAAACGTTATGTCTAGATTATTCTCACGTAAAATATCCCACCAGAATTTTTTTTCGTTCCAGCATTTCTCCATTATTCTCTTAGCCATTGCAGCACTGCTGACGCCCTTCCGGTTTAGTGAGTCAATTCTTTTCATGTAGACCGGCCTATATTTGACCATTGAATCGCTAAGCAGTTCACAGCCGCAACAAAACAAACAGAAGATTATGCAACTCGTCGAAGAAGAAACTAGAGGAATACTTTCATCCACAAGCTTTGTTATTTTCACTAGTGAATCTTCTATGATTCTACTATTCTGCGGAAGATTTAAAACCCTACGCTTCAGTTGAAATGATCCCGTTAATCCAAATATCAGGTTTGTGGCTCGTAAAATGCGGTATCCTTTGTGAATCTCAGGCCGGCCTTGCGAATAGTAAGCTTTGAAAATCTCATCTCGCTCCCTTTCTGATTCATTGAGGTGTGCATTGATTTCATAGTCCAGCTCTAAAACCTGCGATAGCAATTTTTGCGTTATTTCACCCCCGTTGGCATCTTGTCTCTGTTCTCTCTCGCGAATAAGCCACGAAACGTCTGCCAAATAAGAAAGTACCTTTGCTTCCAATCCCGTTCCAGCTTCGATATCTTTTAGATTGATCCTCCTCCTACTCCAGTTCTCCTGGTCAGTCATCTTTTCGAATTTGTACTTGATGGCTCGGAGTTTCTCTGAAGTAATAACCTTACTAGTAGACGAAAGCGAACCAATGATATCCACATACGAAAACCATCTGGTAATAAAAAATAGGTCGTTAGATTCGCCTTCATCTGATATCGTGAGCATGTTAGAACCTGAGTCACAAAGGCGCTCCATGATCAGCCGTCCTGCTCCATACACATGTGCCCTCCACTTCCGCCTTTTATCACTAAAAAAAATATCGAAGGCAGCTAGCATCATTATGGTAGCCAAAGTACTATCACTCGTCCGTTCCTCTGCGTTCATTAGATTGGCCAGCAGTTGATTAAAAGTCTTCGTTAGCAATTTGTCCGTCACAGAAACATTAACTGGACTCTGTGGATCCACGCAAGCTTGCCATAGATCTACTGGAACCAAAGAGTCAGTGCTGCAGTTGACATAGAAATCCTCGAGAGGTAGTAAATCCTTCTCTGGGGGTTGACGACCACACGTGAAGTAGTCTGAAACAGGGCCAATCCTTATAGTTCGTTTGCTGCTTAAAGAGAAGGTGAAATCCTTCTTAGTGATCGATGCTACTTGATTTGACGGCCAGTCAATTTATTCTGCCTTTCTTCTCGCATACGAGTAGTCCCAATAGAATTTTGTTTTTAGTTGGTTTAGAAGAAATGGAGTTACAGGTATATGTTCCATGAGTGTTTGTGTACTTTGTGCTTGGAACTTTGGTGCCAATGAGGCAGTGCTTGTATGGGCAGAAACGTGCTATAGCAGTTGTCGTTCCAGAAAAGACGTTATCCGCCTTTCTGATTCTAGTTGTGTGAATCTCAAAGTTTCAGTCACTGTTGTTTGTGAGTCAGTGAATCACGTTTATTCTGTTCCCAATATATTCTTCGACGTCTAGGAAATTTCCACTCCTGCAAAAAAATATAATGCGTGAAGCCTACATGAAATTTTGGTGGTGACTTCAATGGGTTAACAACAGGGTGTTGGTCATAACTCTAAACCTTTCTTATTACCAATCATTGAAACTCATTGCATCTTGCCATTCCTTATTCCATCAGAGTTTTTCGTAAGCTTGCTCTTCGACTTCTGGGGTGTACGGAGTTTCAAATTATTGATAAGCTGCTTGCGCCACGCGTTCGAAGATCGGGTGCCCAAACCCGGCGGCTATTTTGCTGACATCTTTTTCGTTTTACTTTGGTCCACGCTTGTGCTTTCTGTTTCCTGTCATTTCCATGGCTTTCTTCTTAATAGATAAACTCCCTATTAGAATAGGGCGTGCGGCGTCAATTAGATGTATGCTGCCCCTTTCATTCCTCTGTTCATTCGGGCAGTGGCCACAGTTTTCGTAAAATGAATAGGGGAGATCATGGCATAGAAGTTAGGTATAAAAGACGAAGATATTTTCTCTAGTTCTGGTCTCAAGTTTCCCTAAGTCGCTCGCCATAGTATACTAAAACAAAGAAATACAAAAGGATTCAAGATGCTAGCCGAAATAATCGACCACTCCTCAGAGGGCAGTAAGACCTGTCATTGCCCTGACAAATGCTGTTCCAAAAATGGTAATGACGTCAATTGTTCGTGCGGTAACGGGAGCTGTAACACTTGCCAAGACAAGTGTTGCTGTTCTTCTCAGGAAAAATGTGCTTGTTGATATGCCAAGTACGCGAGACCCAAGTTTATAGTGCTGTACTTTCAACCGGAGTTTTCCGTTGATACTACATAAACTTTTTTTATAGTTTAAATTTTGATGCAGCTGTTATTGATTTATGGCGCAAAACTACTTTGCCCGATGGTAGACACATCCTACCCGATGCTATACACTTGTCCAAATAAAAATAGGAAGAAAATTTCATCATTCTGTAGGTGCGCTTAGCATATATTTTGGAAACCGTAATCGAGCTGAATGTTGGTACAGCTACTTTCTCATGCACTACTTTCAACTTATCATCGCTAAACACGGATGCAACTTCAATCTCTTCGAACGCCTTTCGGAGAAAACTAAGGATTAGGTGCCGATGATTATACAGTATGGGGATAGTGTCGATATAAAAATAAATGTCTTATTGAGGTCTGGCAAATGATGACTGCAGAAGTCTGATATTAATTCATGAGTGACAAAAAATCTAAGAAGGCTTGTGAAGTTTGCAAAAGACGAAAAAAGAGATGTTCCGGAGGTCGGCCATGCGACTACTGCATCAAGATCGACAAGCAACTAGCTTGCACATATCGTGTCAAAGTATCCTCTAAAACAGTCAAGGTTACGGAAAAGTATCTTGTTAATTTAAAGTCCAAAATTAAAGACTTGGAGCTTCAACTTGCCACACGATCCAATTGCCATCCAAATGATGTGTCTACTAATGACAACCCGTTAGTTAGCAGTGAAGATGATGAAGAGGATCGGGACGGGATGGACGATCCATCAGAAGGTAATAATTACTATCGTTTGGGAAATTCAGCTTGTGGCAAGTTCTTGTTAAGAATTAAGGACTCGCTAGGGAAATCATGTCAATTGCGGGGTGATGTGCGTCCATCAGTAATTGAAACAATTTCTTTGGAAACGTCTCCAAATATGGCACTGATTGAACAAATTGTACGGGAAAACTGCCCCTCTCCCTCAGAAGCCAAGAACTGGATTTTGGCCGCTTCTAACGTGATTGGTGCAGATTATATGTATATAGAACCTGATTACGAGAAAAGCGTATTGGATGAACTTATATGGACCAGTGATTCGCATAATGCTGACTTTGTCAAGTACGCAACAGAGGTTACAAGGTTTTTCACGTACCTGGCTCTAGGATGTCTCTTCAACAAAGATCGGTCTCCTGAGAAGACCGGCTCGAAATTTCCCGGATTGCAGTACTTCGAGACAGCGTTGAGACTCCAAAGTGAGTTGTTGAAGGTATATGACATGATGGCTAATACTTCTTTGGTACAGTCATTTCTTTACGTGGCCTACTATGCTCTTTCTTTGGACAAACCAGAATTTGCGTATCTTACTATTGGTAGCGCCATAAGAATGGTTTTTACTTTGAATTATCATAAAAAGACGACGACATTCACAGAGAATAGGGTATTTTGGCTCTGCTTCGTTTACGACAGACTGGTATCAGTCAGATTTGGCTTTCCCCTGATGATTAATGAGCTGGATATAGACGTATCTCTTCTTAACGAGCCAACAATATCTAGTCAGGAGACACTGATCGATTCTTGCCATTTTAATTGGCAAGTCAAACTTGCGAACATTATCACACAAACACTCAGGAAAATATACACCCGCAACTCTTTTTCTTTCATTCACAATTGCTACACCGTGTTGAAAGAATTAAAATATTGGCTGGATGGTCTTCCTGATGACCTTAAGATAGACATGGACAATTTCAGTACAACGCAGCCAAGATCGACTATTAATCTTCACATCAATTATAATTATACCATTATCATAACAACACGTCCCGTTTTTCTGTATGTCTTCAATAAAGTGGCGGACAGTGAACAGAAGGCCGAAGAATTGTTTCCGAAGAAGCTTCTCAACACCATAACTACTCTATTAGAATCTAGTGTTCAAGCGGCTCAGATACAAAGTTTCATTTTAACAAAGCTTTATTTCGAAGGTCGAATGGTGAGTACTTCTTTTTTGGATTGTCATTATATTTTCAATGCCACCATCATTCTGATTTTTGCCGCTTTCTGTCAATCGAGGCCCAATCATGCTATTTTCTTTGGCTGTGATATTAATACTTTGTTTGAAAGAGTTCAGGTTAATTTGAGAGTACTGCAGAGCATATCTCAATATAATATAGCTGCTTGTAATTTCAATAAGCAGCTCACTGAGATTATAGAATTAATTGGTTCCACAAATGTGCATATTCCCCAGGAACACCCTTTTCCGAACCCATCTGTAGGCAAAGAATCCGATGCGCAACTAGCAGTACCGCCACTCGATCCTGGTATCGACCTGGATCTTGCACGAAAGTTTGATCTCTCAAGAATATTGCATGACATCGGGGATAACTCAAGCGAGTTGTTTCCATTTGATAATGAGGACTTTTTAAAATATAGTTTTTTTTAAATTTATGGTTAAAACTTCTTAAAATTGTTCATTTACTTTATGTAATTCATGTTAGCTAATATCAAAGTATTTTGGTGCCACATCC